TGATAATAATGATAATAATAACAATAATAATAATAATAATAATAATAATAATAATAATAATAATAATAATAATAATAATAATAGTTATGAGTAAATTCCAAAAAATAAAATATAAAATAAAATAAAATCGGGTAACTACAGAAACGAATCGAAATGAAAAGTTATGCCTTAAAAAACGAGAACCCACTAAGGATACCAAGATCCCTGTTTAAACCAGATACGTGTGTTTTGTGTCTGATAATGAGTTTGAGTTCCACGAGTCTACGTTGGTGGAGGGAGGAGAAATTAGTGGATATGAGGGCACACCGTAGGTTGCTGAGAGAATGGTTGGGAGAGTTAAAGTGTTCTGCTACAGGAAAACCTGTTCGATTGTGTCGGATAGAAGATTTGTGGTTATTAAATCTGGACCTAAAATCAACACCAGTTTCGCCAAAATAATGACCATCATCACAAATATTGCAGAATAACAAATATACAACATTGTGAGCATCACAGTTAAGAGAGGGGAGACGAATATTGCAGCCAGAATGAGGCATAGAAATAGAGCAATCGGTGATGATAAATTTACAAATTTGACATCTAGGCTTGTGGCATTTGGTATTACCAGCGGACCTACAGGATGAAAGTAAGCGAGATGAAGATAGAATAGATTTTAGATTGGGCGGTTGGCGGTTGGCTACTACTGGGGGATCATTAAAAATAGTGTTTATGGAGGGATCGAGTTTGAGGGATTGAAATCCTTGTTTAAGTCTGTTAGCTATTTGGGAATTGCTGGGACTGTAATCAATGACTAGGGGTATGCGTTCCGTGATGGGCTTAGGATTGGGAGAGAGGAGAGAAGGTCTAGAAAACCTATTAGCTCTAGAGGTTTGCTTGAGGATGAATTTAAGAGGATAACCTTTATCCAGAAAGTAGGCCATGAGCTTGTTGACGTGGTCAAAGTAGTCATCACCGTTGGAACAAATTCATCTGATGCGAAGACATTGGCTGAATATCAATGATTGTTTGAGTTTAAGGGGATGAAAGCTGTTATAGTTAAGATAACAGTGACGATTGGTGGGCTTACAGTACAAAGAAGTCGAGAGTTTCCCGTCTGTAACCTTGACAGAGACATCGAGGAACGGGAGAGTGTGTTGAGAGTGTTCAAACGTGAATTTAATAGTGGGATGGAAAGCGTTCGCATGAGTTTTGAAAAGCTCAAGCGCATCAATGCCATGGTTCCATATAAAAAAAATGTCGTCAATGTATCTGACATAATGCATAGGTTTGAGATGAAAACTGTTGATAAGTTTCTCCTCGAGGGAAGACATGAAGGCATTAGCATAATTGGGGGCCATTTTAGTACCCATGGCAGTACCGCTGATCTGAAGGTAGTGTTGATCTTTAAATATAAAATTATTATGGGTAAGTATGAACCTAGAAATAGATAAAATATCCTGGATGTGATCTAATGGAAACAAGTTTTTGCTGAGCAACGATTCAAGGGCGACTAGGCCTTCAGCATGGGGGATGTTCGCGTACAGGGATGTGACATCCATGGTGACCAATAGAGCATCCGTCTGAAGGTTAGGGATTTGTGAGAGATTGTTGAGAAAGTGCGTGGTATCTTTGATGTAGCTGGGGATGGAGGGAATGAAAGGTTTAATAACAGAATCCACGTAACCGGATAGGTGTTCAGTAAGCGTTCCTATATTGGAGATAATGGGACGGCCTGGTGGATGAATATTGAGCGACTTAGCGATGTCAAATATTTTGAATGGATCAATGGATGTGGATATGTTGTGCGGGTTGGTTGTGAGCATGTTGTCGATAAGTTTGGGTAGCTTGTGTAGTTTTTGAATGGTGTAAAACGTACCTGGCTGTGGGTTCCTAGGGATAAGAGCAGGCATACGTGAACGGGTATGAGTAGATAACCCTGTGGTCATGTTCAAAAGTTCACGTTTAAAATCAACAGTATGGTCCTTATCTAATTTCTTATAAAATGTAGTGTTCGATAATTGTTCATTGGCTTCTTCGATATAACTGGTTTGGCTCATGATGGTCGTGGCTCCTCCTTTATCTGCCTGTCTAATTACGATGTCATCATTGGCTTTAAGAGTGGATATAGCCTTACGTTCGTCTTTTGGTCATAGACCAATCATTGTACAGTTTTATAAGTATTCCTCATTTGCTCTCTGTCACCTTTATTCTTTTTTGATAAGACAGCCTATATTATATTGATTCATGATGTTTTCCTCATTCTCGCTGATGAAGGCCACAGGAGTGG